ACAGACTTAAAAAATAAAAAAAATAGTTTTTTTTTCTTCTCCCAAAAAATTTGAGAGCCCTCTAATCTTTCAAAAGATATTTTCATAATTACAACAATACATTCAAGTTTTACAATTCGTGAAATTTTTGAATATCTTTGTGAGATATCCTTACACTTGTTATAAATATAGTTTATATTGTTCGAATTAGGGTTAACATTGAAATCAACAGACAAGAAATATTTTATCACTTCTTTTATAAACATACTGCATTCTACTATTAATTTTTTTATAGACTCATACGAAGGTCTTTTAAAGAAAGAATTGTTTTCTATCTTTTTTATTTGACGTTCAATACTTCTGTTTAAAATTAATTTTCTTTTATGAAAAAGGTGTTTACTTTTTTTTAGCCTAGCTATAAACCTTTCGTTGTTTTTCTTAGAAACGAAAACTTTTGTCGAAATTGAAATTTGCTCATTTTTGGCTTCGTCAAATGCAGATTTTAAGCGGTATAGAACCTCTTTAGAAAAATTTATAAATAAATCTAAATTTGTCGATTGTTGATTATTAGATTTTACTGTTTCATTTTGAAATATAAGATTGTAATTTAATCTTTTTTTAGAAATCAGATATCCATTAAATTTTTTAAGATAAATAATATAAAACTTATTTAGTAAGTCTTTTTTATCTGTATATGGTATAATCTCTTCACATCTAATATTATCATTTTGATTTTTATCTTGGTCATTAATATCTTTACCAGAGCTTAGAACTTCATCATATTGTTTGTGGGATCCAGAACCGTTAGATGAATAATTATTGTATATACTTGGATTATTTTGAAAAGTTTCTTCCGAATGCCTTGCATTTTCAAAAATTATACATCTACTATTATCGTCTAATTTAGTTTTTTTACAAGCTGGATTACCAAAAGTTTCATCATTTATATCTTTAAAACACCGAGAATCCATTATATCAAAAATAAGATTATCAGAAGCAGAGCTTGGTGCATTTTTATATCGCAACTCTTCTTTTGAACCCAAAGCACTTTCAATAATTTCTCCTGGTTCAAAATTTTCTTGTTCCAGAAATTGATTTTTGATATTCTTGTTATTTGAAATTTGGTTGCACTGTCTTTTCGAATTTGCGTTATAAATATCATTCATATTACTTGCAACAGATTCTGTCGCACTGATTGTTCCATAATTTGTCGAAGTATATATACCTGATAAAAAGTAAAAGAAACTAAACATTTTATGGGATATATTTAAAAAATTTATTTATTTTTTATTTTTCAAAAAATCCTTTATAAAAAATATTAAAA